TTACTAAATCGTGGGCTAATTTGTAAAATGATCTCACCGAACAGGTTTCACTGTTGTAATTGAGCGGGTTAATCAAAGAAAATAACCTGATATACAGCGTTAATCGGACGTTGAGTCAAAACTATTATGCAACCGTTGCTTAAGATTTTATTGTATATTCTGATCTAGCTGTTTATCCTTATGGTTTAGCACGTGTAATAAAAATATAAAGATAAACTGTATTCGAGTTATGTGTATGCTGTACAACAATATTAAACATATTTCGTTTGGTAACCAGAAATAAAATACATTGATCATTTGGAATTTTATCCCTAATTAACAATATAGTAGAATGACTAGTTTTTAATATATTCACGACTAGTTTTGTGATTCTTATTTTGTAAATCACGTCTCAAGTTTTGAAAGTCACAATTTTATAGTAACTTTAATGTTTTATGAATCTATACTTAATAAATATTATAAAATTCTATTTAGTCATAAATATGGCTAAGACTTTTACATATTATAAAATGTATAGAATATAATTATTTCAAAGAACATTTTTTTTGTTGATGTAAACAAAAGAAAAATACTATGAATATCAATTTATTGAATTTTTATCGTAATATATTAAATCAATATGTGGTTGCTTTTATAGTTGAAATCATTAGTTTTATTTTTATTTTGATGCTCTTAAAAAAACATTAGTAGAAAATTATTGTATTTTATATATTAACATTATTTATCATAAACTGTTTCAAAAAATTTTCTAATTTTTTTTTTAAATTTTTGACTTTAACCAAAGTACATAAGAGGTATATTTTGTTTTATTGGTTTGTAACAAATCACAAACTAATAATTTTGTATCCGCTATGAAACAAAACGTAATAACGAAATAACTACTATCAAAATAAAAAAAATTAAAAAATTTTCCATTTCTTTATGTATTTAAACAACTTATATTACATGTGCAAAAATAATTAAACTGCTCTTTAGATTTTTTTGTTTGTTGCGAAACGGAACAAAGTATGCAACGTCACCATACCCGGTTTGCTACAAACTCTTTGGTGTAATTACAAAGAGTACCTTTACATCCTCTAAATGGTTTAGTTCTTCAAATTACAGCATACTTTAAGCTTACTTTTTATACAGTTTACATCAATGGAAACTTTCATTAGCATAAATTGTTCATATACGTGCTCATTCTGGCCGTTAAACTAACTGAATATAGTGTATTGTCATCCGGAAAAAACTTGTTAATATCTAGATACCATTCAGTTTGTCAAAGATACTTTAATGATTTGGAGATGTAATTATTTGTTATATATTAATTCAACCACCGTAATATTTTTTCCCTGCTTATATTTAGAAAGATTTATGTAGTTGGGTCATTCCATGTGAAAAATGTTCGTTCAGTCACTATGTGTTGTGGGTTATTAAAATAGACAGTTTTCAGCAAATCGCAAATGTTTGAAACCATAAATTAATAGCAAAAAATTACCTTAATTGGTTCAATGGTGATATGGGTCACAAGAATATAACTTGGATTTTATATAGACAAAATACTTATTGACATTTTTTATCTTTGACCCCATAAAATGATTTTTTTTTTAATTTAAACATTTTAAAAAACGTTAAAAATAAATTTTTTTTTTTGAAAATATGATTAAAATACACTTAATTAGAAACTTAACTGTGCAGGTTTCCCGTTAACACCGCTATCGGCGGTTAAATTACAGAGCCTGGAACATGAGGTGTTATTGGATAGTTTTCTTAAGAAATCAAACCACTTAAATTGAAAAAAGTTTTAAAATTTATAGGATCTATAAAGAATGTATGATAAAAATGTTCAAAAAATGTTGACCTATAGTCGCACACACATTAGGTGATTATTAAATTATTAAAATATAATTAAATTTACTTTGGCCAATTACAATGTGTTTGTATTGATCTATTGTAAAATTATTTTATCTACTAAATCGTATGGTTAATACGATTTATTAGTTAATAAAATAATATTAATAATTATTACGTCATCGGCTCAAATGTTTAGGTTTTTTTTTTAACTCTTATAAACATTTGGTACGTACCACACACATATGGTATTTTTTATTTATCAGTTTTGACCTACCTATTTATTATTTTTCCCTCTTCACATGCATGTTGTCACGTGTACATGAACAAAAAGACGGAATAACATTGAAGACAGTGATACGTACCTGTTTTTAATAATATTTGGATTTTCGAATCGATTACGACGCAGTACATTTTTACATAACTTATATGTTAGTCTATGACGTGAATGCCTATTTTGTTGACATTTTTTTTACGTCAATTCCTTTGAACGTCAACAGCTAGTCGAAAGCGTGATAGAAATATGCATAATTAGCCCATGTTCAAAGTAAATAAACAAAGTATATTGTGACACATGGTTTCGGGCTCATTTTATGCGTACAATAAAAACTATCAACGTACTGTATTCAAATGAGTTAACTGATCTTAGGCAAAAAAGATACAATGTAATAGAATACATGTTGTATTTCATAATTCATTTGTAATACTTCGGGTCTAAAAGAGCCAAGTACCGTTTTTTTACATTTTTTGATAAATGTTTTAACATTTTTATAATTTCCCATTACAATCTGTGTTTATTTTGTGTATAAATATTTTTTTATAACTTTTTTAATTTGTGTCCAACGAGACGGTTTTATTTCCTGTTATTTGAAAAATATATATAAAATAATAATATTTTGTGATAATTAAAAACGATGAGTAATAATTATTACAAATCTTATTTAAGCAGAAATTAAAATGTTCGTAACAGAAATGCAAAAAAAAATTGTTTTGTTTTATTACAGTAAATTTACTTTTAAGTCGTTAGTATTTCTATCACGCTTTCGATTACTAATTGTTGACATTAAAATGAAATGACAATAAAAAAAATTGTCAACAACACAGGCATTAGATTATTATTGGGCAATAATTAAAATAAAATAAAATTTTGCCGTGTCGGAGCATTCATAATATATGTCGGTTGTTATATAACAATAACTAAACAAAATATAGATATTTTTTTTACATCCGCGTTCGGTTCGACATTAACTATTAATGTTAAATTATTTTAGGGCAAGCGCACGTCATGCGTTTTTCCGGCAATACTGTATAATAATGTCTTATTGTTCAAAACCGTTTGCACAGCACTATCGTTTGAAAAAAAAAGTGTTCTAGCTTTGTATAAATTTGAATTATATGGAATTTAATTCCACAAACGTCAATGATGTCGTCGGTAATAAAAATCGAATAGGATATTATTTTTTCGAAAATATATTATTCTATAGCTGTTGATAGCTGTTAGTCACTACAGCGCTATGCTATGATGCCCACATAACTTCGGGCTCGCACGAGACGTTAACATGTTAATCTGATTGTAAGAGGCCAACAACTGGTAACACGTAAGAACATTGTGTGTGTTAATCAGTACGTAACGCGTCCGATCAATATCAATCCGAATTATTAACGTTGGCACGTTGTAGGTATCTAAATGTAAACATATCGGTATTATCTATACCATATTATTATTGTTTATTGTGTGCTTGTGTATAATTTGCAAATGTGAAGTGCGTTTTGACACGGATATGTCTTATGGCTGGAGGCGACACGGTAAGTGTCACAGTGGGAGGATGGAGAGATTATGGAGCAGTATGGAAGAGTATTAAGGAAAAACATTTAGCCACAACATAAAATTCAGACAATACTATACTATCATATACTAAGGCCAAATAATAAAAAAAAAAATTAAAAAAGATTTGGCCACAACATAAAATTAAGACAATACTATACTATATTATCACATTTTGAAGTTGTTATCGTTTAAAGAACGGTAAAACTCAGTTCTTCTTCAGATTTATTTTTTGTATTTTTTTTTAATCCGTGCTCGTCTGCGGCTAAGTTTGTCGGTAACATAATCGGCCTGTATATTATGAAATCGTATAGATGCTAATATGATATGTAAAAAATATTAAAATATTAAAACAAAATATAAACAGGGAAGAATATTATAGTATGATTAAACTAAAACATCAGAGCTAATAATTACATTAAATTTTATGTTGTTTTTATAACTGCATATATTATTTCCAGAAACGAAAAAAGCCCAATTTGACTTAGTGAGAAAGCGAAAGTTTATCCTCATTGATGTACATATGTTGTTCGGTACAAGGAAATAATATCTATATGGATTATCTAAACATTATCAGCAATTTTTCAGACTAAAGAGCTGAAGCGTGAAAAAATTATTATTAAAAATAAACTTTTAATTTGCAATTTGTGGTCGTTTACACTACCTTTGATATACCGTCTCCACAGTGCTCTACCCCTTTCGGTCCCAAATTAAATTTAGAGAATATTATTTTTTTCTAATACAACATGCAACACTACATTTATAATTTCCTTGATATCTTTATCGTATAATACACATGTTTTTCTATTAAGTTAAATCGTCATCACGTGTGTAAGTATTATCATAACAATAATACTAAAAAAAAAAGAAAAGAAAAACAAAGTTGTGCACCATGTAATGTGCCTGAAACGACTAAAAGGGCTATATAAAACCGATAATAAGAAAGGACATTTTGTACAAAGCGCAGCGAGTCCTATAAAAAAAAACGATTTTAAAGCAAATAATATTCAGTTTTGGTATTCAAATTTGTAGGTATAAAAAAAAGTGAAATTTATCAGGGGCCTGATATATTATTTTGTGACGCCCGGCGGGTATAAAGGTACGAGGTTCCGGCTTTCCGTTGCGTTATCAGCGGTCAATGATATTCGTCGGTAGGTATAGATAGGTAAATATTATACATCCATTATATTATGTACATGCATAATTGCGTTAGGTATATCGTCCATTATAAAAAAAAAAAAAACAATATTATTATTATACCGGTCTGTTGATAAGGCGGCGGCGGCGGCGGTGGCAGAATAAATATTGGAGCGCGCCCACCGTACTGGTTCAGTGTAACGCTTGTGCTCGTCACTGACAATTTCACTGACTGTCTGGAAACACTTGTTTTGCGCATAACTTATCGACGAACTTCTCGAAACGTACATTGGATATAATATTATAATACTATATTATTATTATTATTATTATTATTAGTATTATCATTCGCGTCTGACAGTTTTCGGTGTTGTATTAAATTTATACGTAAGACGCACGTCTTACGAACCACCCGGTGTTGCTTTTAAGCAAATCTCGCTTGCCGTTTATCCAAGTGTTGTACGTGCGCGTCTCATGTTAACTCAAAGCCAAAGCCAAACGCAAAACATGGACGAGACCAACGAGTGAGCATAATATTATATTATAACATTGTAATAGTAATAAAATGTATAGTAATTTAATATCAACTGTTGTAAATCGTAGTGTGCATTTTTTTGTTGAAAATTATGATTATTATTTCATCGAATCGCGTTGTACGGTTACGGATTAAAAATTAATTAGGCTCTATCTGATATGATTCTATGTAGGTATTAACGGACATCAGGGCGGGGCAGGGGTTAAACTCTAATGATAGCCGCGCCCGGAGTAATCATCGTAACAATATTATGTTGTATTAGAGCAAAATTGGGCCAACGCGTTTTGCGTTGAAATTTGTTCGCTCAGCGTTTTATTAGTGAATCTGATTATTTCCGTTTTAGTTTTCGTTAGTATAAAAAATTACAATAATACATAGATTATGGACTATTATAAAATTATACTATGTTCCGTTGTAGTGAAAACGTGCACAACCGTTCAATAGTATTTAATGTATGTATATAATATAATAGTAATTTACTGTGGTACTAATAACGTGGAACGTCATCGCGGGGAACTGTGACCTAATGTTATCGACTAGGTTGAAATAATGATTGAACGAACCGCCGGTAAATCACTATAACGATAAGTGTGTAATAAATAATTACACGTTTATAGTCCCGACGACGTTTTCGAATACGGCTTTTCTTTTGTACGCCTGTAATATAATCGATATACAATAAACATGTGTGTGTTGGGCTCGGAAAATTCGGACTTGCCGTGTACCGTGTAACAATGAAAGTAGAAATAGGTTTTCATTATTATTTTCCGTAAGACGTCCGTGCCGGCGAAATTGATATTATCAAAGAAATTGGGCGAGGGCGACGAAAAAAAAATATATATAATATTTAGAGAAGCTAAAAGCGACGGGACGGGAATAAACATAAAAACGGCTCAGGATCGAAGGTAAAAAAAAAACCAAACGAAAATCTGCAGGTCCCAGTAGTAAAAAAAATCTCCACGCTAGAAAATATGTAGTCTTTTATATGCTCACTGGTCGCGTAGCAATGGCAAGACGTTAAGAGTGACTGAAGAAAACAACAACAACGCACTTTTATCCGCGAATAAAGATACCGTCACAAATTGAACACCACCTATCTCATTCCTGTCGCCGGTCCGTATTTGTCTCTATTTAATGTGAATAATAATAATTGCGACTTGCGGTTATTTCCGGTCGTTTAGCCAAAATCCATTTACCGTGCACTGTCCATTCGGCGGAGGCGGCAAAATGCGAGTAGGTATCCACTCGTTAACCGGCCCATTGTCTACGTTGAGTAATATAATTTGCTTTTATCTGAACAGTTGTGCATTACAAGAGTTGTGCAACATAATATTAATGAGGTTTCTCGGATTACGCTAGCTGTGATAATTGCGATGGTATAATTTTTATTCATGCATTGTGCATTGAATTGCACAACATTATATATTCGAGCATCTACCTCGTGTCTGAATAATAAATACGCGCGTGTGTGTGTGTGAAATGAACATTTTTATCAATCGAGAACAAGTAGGTACCTGTATGGATGTTGTGCAACGGTTTTTGTTCTCGGTATCGCATTTTTAATTGCACGACTTTAAATAATATTCCATGTGAAACGTGCATTTGTCTAACGACCCGTCCCAAAAAGGGAATTCGTCAAAAAAAAAAAAAAAACCACCTCATCCTGTTAAACGACATTATAACGATAATGTGTTAACGCTCAATAAAGATTATGTGCATAATAACGTTTGTGTTAGCTCGGTTATAGTAGCGAATTAGTATTTTCAAGGTCTAACTGATGTTTGTAGAACTGTCATACCAGTTTTCTACAACCAATTATACTCGTTATGCGTGTATTTTGTTTTACCAAATATTATAAATAATAAAAATCAATTAGCTGTGTAGCTAAAATATTCGTATGGCCGGACCGGTGTTTCTGGATTGGCTTCGAGACGGCGCCGGGCTGTATAAAGTAATATTAACATTTAGGTAATAAAAACATATTTTTTCAACATGATCGTTAGACCCGTTGTCTTGTTATTCGTATTTGACAAACACGCGTCAACATTGATAGCCAGTTTAAAAAACAGCGTTCGCGTGACTAACTATAGAGTCAACGATATAATATATCTGTAATAAAATCCAACTGCGCTTTATATTGTACCGGCGGAAGGAAATGTTTTTTTTAAATTTTTTTTAAACGTATTGCACATTGAATTTGTGTCATACCTATCTACTATTGGCACGATTAGATGATAGCTAAGAAAATGGAGTCCCTTTAAAACGGTTAAATCTTGTTTAGAATTTCAATGTAATATATTAAAAACGTTACACGGGGCTATGCTATAAAAATGGTTAATATTTGAACGGCAGATTTGAAAATGTTAACATTTACAGGTTTTGTTTGTAAATCACATTTTAATAAAAACGGTATGATTTTTTTTGTTGTAGGTCGTATTGTTCAAGATGCGTGTTCGACCGTCTTCCGCCAGAGATGATCAGGTTAATTTTCCGGGAACTGTCCACGGAAGACTTGCTCCAGGCTTCTACCACGACAGACCGGCTCTATCAGATCGCCCAGCACCATTTGTACCTCTCCAAAGGCGAGTTATTGGTTCGCGGCGGCCAGGACATCAGCGGCCGTTTCGATACGAACCGCGTCACTTCGCTGTACCTGGACGACGTGTACGACTTCGAAGCCGACGTGCCCGAGGAGCTGTTTGCGACCAACGACCGCAGTACGTTGGATGTGCTGCACGTGGGCTACGGGAAACCGGTACGGTATGCAGACTTGCCGTCGGCCGGCCTGCATCAGCTGTTGTCCGGGGTGAAGACCAGGCGCGTCAGCTTCAACAACGTGTTGATGACCGCCGACGACGTGATCGACGCCGTGTCCAGCCTGGACGGTGAAGACGAAGAGCCGCCCGTGTTGCGTTGCGCTTACGACCGCGCCAACGACGCGGAAGTTATGCGACTGATGGACGAGGTGGAGTCCACCTGCGCCGGTCTGCTTACCGAGTTTAAGGTAACCGTTCGGAGACCGGCGCCCCGTGCGTTCGCGGTTTACCCTCAGGCCAACGGCGGCCTGGTCGATCCCGAACTGCCCGAAGATTTGCACCGTTTCTCCGTCACCGATTGCGCCGGGCTGCAGGCTACCGCATACAAACGGTTGGCATCGTGCCGTCGGCTTCGCAGGCTGTCACTGAAAAACGCCAGGAACATAGAAGACGACGGGTTCGAAGCCATTGCGGCCATGCCTTCGCTGGAATATCTCGACGTAAACGGACTGAGCAACGTGACGTCCGACGGACTGCTCAACGGTAAGCAAAAACTATAACACCACCCAATTTCGTAAGCACTATAGTCTTCTTTTTCGGTCAAAATATTATAAGTGGTTTTTTTAGGAACAATTAATAGTAATGTTCGAACTCAAACTGCTTCTGTCATTTGTCCAAACCAAAAATATTTGCTTAGTCACTATCTACTGTAGACTATTGTGACTTGCGAAAAGTTAATTCAAGGCATATTCTAAATGATACGCGGATTTTATTAATTATAAAGTAAAGGTTTTTTAGTCGTTAAAAATAATTTCTCAAATGGTATATTGATATTATATTATCGTTCACTCGGTTTACGGGTGCACTCGTATAATAATCCGTTGTTTTACTTTCGGAATTCAATTTCCGATCGCGTACCATAAGCCAACCTCTGGAAATCCGATTATGGTTTAACACGTTACTCGACCCCTCACATATCTGCGTGTACGTCGAATCTAATAAATCCGCATAGCGTAGTTGTATATTTTGATTTGCGCAACCCGGCACGGTCTTTTGCGAAGAGAAAATATTAATTATGATTTCGTTTTAATTTACGCGACCTAAACAAACACTATCCCCGAGTCTTTTGATAGAAACGTCAAACACGAGAGGTCTTATTTGTAATACTACACCGCAGGGGTATCTCAAAGCAACACGATGAAAGGAATGTCATCAAACGGATACGACAAGTCACTTTGATAGGTTTTAAATGAAAAAAATGTATACATATTTATTATACGACTGAAGTTTCTGTATACATATTTTCCATATCATAACCCAAGTCCTAAACAACAATATCAATATAATGAATAATATAATAATTGTAGTGCTATAATAATAATTATTATTGTTTGTTTTGGCAGGTTTCGAGAGCCTCAGCCAACTGAAATCATTGGCCCTGCGGGAGTGTCCGTACATGACCGACGACGTACTTTGCCGGATCGGCGACTTGCGACAACTGCGTCGGCTCCACCTGGACCTCTCGGATTGCGTCAAAGTGACGGCCGCGGGCGTCCGGGACATGTTGCTCGGGTGCGGCCACGGTCTGCGGGAGCTTCGACTCACCTTACCCCTGAACCGCGACTACGCGGACGCGGCAACCGCCGCCGTCGCATCGGGACGACGTTCCAGTCTCCGAAAGTTCCAGCTCACCTTCGAGCGGTTGTCGTTCCAAGATCACCAACACAATCAGCCGGACGACGGCTGGGAACGTGCGCTGGCCGACCGCTTCCGCCGGGCCGGCGTCGACTTCACCGTCGAGCACGCGTTCACCAACATAACCGTATCGGTTGACTGAAGATCATGTAAAAAACCGGTTGTTTGGTGTGTCACAAACGAAACTAGTCAAAAATAAGTTCTATTAATTTTATAATATTAAAATGTTATTATTATTGTGTACATAAACGCGCGTATTTATATTCGACGAAAGATATACAATGTTAAGTTATGTATATAGTAAATCTTATTGCGCCTTGTGCAAAAGTTAAAGGTACCTTAATTTTTTTAAATATTTTTGTTTGTTTATTTATTTTTTATACGTTTAGTCTTAATAAGTCATGGTTAAATTATGTGTGTATTTCTCCGACTTCAGGCCGGGGTTCGTCATATTATTATTATTATTATTACTATTATTTATTAATATGCTTACCACATATATTTTTCTGTCGTCTGGTAATATTAATAATAATATTGTTATATTATATAAATTATGTCTATGTCTTATTTGTGTATGTATGTATGTATATATATTATGCATTTATATGTATAGAAAGACTGTTGTGTGCCTACAAGCATGTACATGTGAAACTTAAAATAAAACGTGCGTTTTACATTACCCGTGCGTGTAATACCAACTATAATAGCAGACCGCTGTATATATATATATATATATATATATGTATACGGCGCCTACACCTACGTGTGACTTAAAAGTTACTGCCCTCGTGTTAAAATAATAATATTAATAATAATAATCATATTATACAAAAGCAGCGGCGAGGCGGTGGCGTAGTCGTTAATGAAGTTACCTGTCTGTCGAACGATGCGACTCTTCACTCAACCGCGGCTGTTGTCATGGCTACAAATCGTGCGACGGCCGAATGCGTTTTCTAGTTAAACCGCCGTTTTCGAGCCGCCAACCGTCTTATGCTTCACTTCCATCACGTGCACTTTACACCTTCGCCCTCAACAACTTATGTTACTTTTGCAACGTTTACGGATATTTTTACTAATAAGGCACGGCCTAGAGTAACGAATATTATGGTACCCAAAGCGTTAAATATACTTTTAATAGACTCTAAATAGATGCTAAGCCATTTTGACTAGCAGTCAAAACACGGTGTTGACATGGCAATGTTACTGTTGTAGAAATATAATAATTATGATGTCTGAAATTAATGAAAAATAAAAGTATCCATGCGAATCTAATGATGGTGAAATAAACTTGAATACAAGAAGGAATTCTAAAAAAACAATATCGACTTCATACACATGTTTTCAGTCGTTGTGGATACTGTTCAATACGTCCTAGTATTATAATATTCAGGTTTTAACGCTCATGGACATCTAGTAAAATCAAGAACTAAAAAAACTGGTTTACGGCATCCGCATTCAATAATTAAAGCTTAATTACGTTAGTTTCATTATGCATTACAACAACACATTACGAAGCGTGGTTTTCAAGCGTTTTGTTCCATACAAACAAAGTGATAGCTTTATCACATATATGAAAATGGTATAAGGTTATGTGGCCGGTATAGTACAAACATTTATGATTCTAGGTAGAAATGATTTTCAAATTTTTATAATATTGAATTTTGTCTGAAACAGTGATAATAAAACATAGCATTTTTGGGATAATAGTACAGGTTAATACAGGTTTCTTAATATTATGACGGGGATGCACATTTGATCGATTGTCTAACAAGAATAGATTTAGCAGTAAAAAAAGTTATTCAGACATAAAAAACATTTTTTTTTTTTGTAAATCAATATAACTTCTCATTTCTGAATCTAAACTTAAGTAGGTATGTGTAAAATAAAAATGCCTCAATGGAGATCAAAGTACGTCAAAGTACTTGAGGGAATTTGTAAAAGTTATTTCTTTATCCTTTATTGTTTTTTGTAAATAATAACAATTGTAACAGTGATAACAGTAACCAAAAGAGCATAAGTGAATTTCTACAATAGAACAAAATGAAATCAAGTTTTTAGAGTATCAAAATATCCAATTATCTTTGAATGGCAGATTTCACTAATACATGAAATTTGGATGAACCTGTAAATCCAACACTTTAAACCGACTATTCAAAACAATATTCGCTCATTCATTTACATATTAAATGTCAACATTATTGTCTGAAACCGTCCAAGAAGACCTGTCCAACTATTCACATTACTTATATTGACTTTCTGTATTAATTACAACGTTTTAATGTCATTGTACCTCGACGAGACAGGACTTCAAATTTCATTAAAGCTTTTTTTTTTAAACTGATAACATTATGCTATAGTCATTTTTCTTTAGTTAACTGATTATTTATATTATATACAAAATAAATAATATATTATAGTCAGTAAAGACCTTGAAAAAAATAATTGTGAAAGTATTGGCATTGAAACGCCTATAGAATATGGTATAATATTGTACAGTATATACACTTGATACATTTTAATTGATTATCATGTGTGCGATTTATAAAAAGTTCAACTCAAGCAGCTAAGGCCGGAAAGGAGCTTTATGTGAATATAAATAATTGTGAAGAAATTAATTTGATTATTTTTTTATAATTTAAGCTTATTCATTTTACATAAATCATAAATGTAAAAATATATTATAAATCAAAGGGAATATTTTACGATCATTTATTTATAAATATTTCCTATTAATATTATTTGCTGAAAATGTTGAGTATTTAATAACCAGTTTTTAATGACTACTTGCAAAGTTATTTGAGTTTAAAATATAGTACGAGCGGTTGAGTAATGTACGCAGTAGAAATAATACTTCACTTCATCCTTTCTCCCATCCTAAACTTAAAATTCTAATGACGTCAAAAGTATTTATTTAAAATTAGATGTCGTCGACCGTTTAAAATTTTCAGCAAATTATTTTTCTTTTAAAAAGTTAATTAATTATACACGTAACCCATCTAAGTTTCAAAAGTTGATAGCGCTCTGGAAAATAATAAAAAGGGTAAATAATTGGAAATTAAAAAATATTATAGGTACAATGATGTAAATAAAAGTATTTTCAAAAGAAAAACTTCAAAATTGTAACTATTGCCCTGGAAAATGAGTGACTTACGTTAAGTACATCACTCCGCACTCGATACTTCTAACGAAAGCGCTTAAAAACCTCGGAGGTTATTTCCTTTGAAAAGTTCGTTTTCAACGATACTGCCATTTTTAAGAGATATTATATTTTCATTCGTAGAGAGATAATAAAGAGAATATAGATATTTAATATATTAATTTAAAAAATAATATAAGGTTCAAAAAAAAAATTTTTAAAGCCATGGTTTTCAAAAAAAAAAATAGTAAAAAGTAAATAAAAACGTTATAAAAATAATTTTATTACAAGAACAATTTACCAATCAATTGTAGCGTATTTTATTTAAAATGTCAATAACTTTGAAAACAACCGAAAATTAACTACAATATTAAATAATGTTAAGCATCTTTAATTTTTGACTAAAAAGAAAAGCGTGGGCCCTATTCAACAAAGTCCAAACTCATTGAGTTAAGTATTATAAAATGTATATGTCACACACAAATATTAAACTAAATTTAAATTACAAAAGAACTTACAATATAAAACATTATCTGATAAATTTATTAGGGACTTTGTTAAATAGGGCCCACGCTTTTCTTTTTATTTAAAAATTAAAGATGTTTAACATTATTTAAAATTGTAGATAATTTTCGGTTGTTTTCAAAGTAATTGACATTGTAAATAAAATATGCTACAATTGATTGGTAAATTGTTCTTGTAATAAAATTATTTTTTACTTTTTAGTTCACTTTTTAATATTTTTTTTTTTTAGAAAAGCATGTTTTTAAAAAAGTTTTTTTTAAATTTATTTATTTTATTTTTTTACTTTTTAGTCCTATTAAAGGTATTTAATAATTGCTGAATAGATTACTAAATTAATTTTGAAAGATTTGAAAAAAACATGAAATTTTAGTATAATGACCCCCACATTTGACTCTGTGTAGGGCGACCTAAATGTTCGAGTCCCAATATGATTACAGGATATTGTATTGTCATCTAAGATGAGTTTCAGCCCTATATGACATCGGGAAGTGGGTTAAATTAATTTTGCAAGATTTGAAAAATACCCGTACAAACGTACGTACGTGTTAGCAAGCTAAAGAAAAGCATGTAAAAATAATAAATTTATAAAATATGTTTATTACTTGCTATTGTGGTTAATATTTTTTCTTTCAAGTAATTATTCAACAATAATTTATGATTTTATCTAATTTTTTTTAATTTACCATGTTTGTTTTAATTGATCATAAAATGAGCACTTTATGATAAATGCGTTTTAATGGTTTTCCGATACCTAACCTTTCATGAACCTTCGGAATGAGAAACCCGCACTTGGCAACTATAAATAAGCAATACTTAATCAAAATTACAGATTAACCAGTGAAAAGTAAAAACAAAAGTACTCATTAATAATCATGGGCTCACTGAGCCTTCAAATTGTCAAAACTGTAAGACCACAAAACCATTATGATTAAAAGAAAAATTAAATAATTATGACCCTCGCTGATGGGCAAGTTTAATAATTTATTTAAGTTTGCATTTGGATTAATACTTATTACCAGGTTATATTTATAGTACCGAAGCGTATATTCTCTTGTATAAACACAATAATTTGAAGTACAAGAGTAGGTAAATTGCTCTTATGGAATTACATCAATATGCGGAGCAGAACAAGTTTCTTAAGTATGCTCTCCGAAGTCTGTTTGTGAAAATTATTCAAATAGTCAATTCAAGTTTATACATATACAATATTGATAATAATCTTTTAGACTTGTACATACAATCGAATAATTTGTATACACTCATAAAAATATATGAGACTTAAAGACTTCATAGAGGTTTCTTCAGAGTAGTTGGCAGTTTTCTAGGTTAAATAGCAAGTTCATTATTATAGTAAACAATTTATTAAATGTGAAAAATAATAATAATTTTTCACAATGAATTAAAGATTTATCACTTGTCTTTTAAGAGTATGCATTCAATGGACATTACATTAATTAGGTAATTTAAGGTATACCATCACAGTTTGTAGAATATGAATTGTTAATGCAATTTAATTTTTAAAGTAATTACGATTATTGCAATTCTGATGGCTTGCATTAACTAAATTGGATATTTGTTAATGAATTGAAGTTATATGTAAAAAAAAAAATGAGATTCTCTATTATATTCTAGACAACAAATGTCTATTGTGTTTATTATATGGAACTATAAGAGCTATAAAACATTGACCATTTTTATTTATTTCAAAGAGTTATGTTAATTGTTTGCTGTACAAGCGATGAGAAATTTAAATCATTTTAAGTGGGTAAGGTACCTAACATAGTCTGTCTAGTTTCTGGAGAAGGTTTAATGTATTCAATTCACGAGCGAAAAAGTATGAGTTTTTTACGTGGTTTCATTACAACCGCAACATCCCAAAGGTAACCATTAGAAAATGCAAATTGTAACTTCTCGTAGCTAAATAAAACACCCGTCGTTTAACAAATTAAACGTTTTAAATAAAGGTAATCGAAAAAAAGAAACTTTTTATTGATAAAATGGTGGAATTTAAAATAAAA